CTTCCGTCCGATTCAGGAAAAAAAACGTAAAATCGAGCTGAAAAGTAAAAAAAAAAGATTTGCACACAAGGGGGATTGAACCAAAGTCGCCACATGAAATTCCAACGCACTAAATATTACGCTATCGGGACCTCTACTCTAAATCTACTTGTATATATCAAGGAAACAGTGCTTCTCTCTTAAAATTATGAAAGGTGGGTCACTATTCAAATTTTAGCGCCAAACGCCACGAGTTAATCTTCGCCCCTTTTCTTTGGAATGTTCTATTAAATAGTTGTGATAGCTTCAATGAAATTAATAAAAAGAACGTTCTTATAGCCTAAGATTCGAAGTTTAGAAAGTATGTTTAACACATTTTACAATTTCCATATTGTATATATGCATGTAACACTAAAGCAGTGAAACGGATATGATTTTTTTTCAATTTCCTGTTTATCCTCAAAGTGAACTATCCCGAATAGTTAATTGAAAAAGGTTGAAAAGTTTCGCCGGAAAACATGGCTCGCACTACGACTGTCAGGAATCCGATATCATTTATGCTCAATAACTTGAATCAGGTCTTTAAGACAAGAATGCTAAAATAAACTCCATGAAGCGATCTTTAAAAAAATCGTTTTCTTATTTTTGTCTAATTTATTAGTTTAATATGACACAAGTGTGCATAGGAAAAACAGTGGTTAATATTTATACTGACAAAATTAATTGATATTCTTTTTTGAGAAAGTATGACTTATAAGTATGATTTAAGATCTGTTTTTCGGCGATGCACAAGAGATATTAGGTATCGAATTTCATTTGCACATTTAGTCTTTTCTTTTTCTACATTGAAAACCAGCCAAAACTAATTATAGAAGACGTTAGTTTGACACAGAACTGCAACGTAAATACGACGTGACAATCCATGTATTCCTTTGTCTTTCATTTATTCTTATGTTACTTTCGTTCAAGCAAACGCTCGGCTGCCTCCGTAAACACCTATTGCGAAATGTCGGCGTTGACAGAGACAGCCGCCATTTTGGACCCGCTTCAGATTTTTGAATGCTAATATCTAGAGTTTAGATTTATCAACATTTAAACAAATTGTATAGTAAGCATTACGAGGAGGGTTTCTATTAACATACCAAAAATAAATGAAAAATACTGAAAAACAAAAAAGTTGGAAAATACGATTTTTTTTAATTTGCATCTTGTAACGACCGGAAGTATTGACGACGCACGAGTAGGTGATTCTGCAAACCACAAAGTAACAAACTATCGTCTCCAATAAGTCTCCAGATCATATCTTTAGCCATTTTCGAGAAAAAGGGGCGACAAAATTGCATTTTAAAATCAGGAAATTGTCGATAACTTGGCACCAGAAGCGAATTTTCAAAATTTCTCTACGGATGTAACAACTTCATATAATGAGACATATTTTATGAAAGTTTCATGAAAAACTGCTGAATAGTTTTCGAGAAATCGCCTGCACAAAATTTTGTCAAAAAAAAGAATAATAATAATAAGAATAATAATAAGAAACAATAGAATCACTATAAGGTCTTCCGTGAAGACGGAAGACCTTAATCATTTTAATTACTGGACATTTATCCCACTAATTCAATGATTAAATGAATACTTTATATTGTAATAGATTAACTCTTCATACTTTAAAGTTAATCCGAGAGCAATATCTTTTAATTTTGTATAAATCATGTTTTTATTTGTCTGATAACAAGGCGGCCTAGATCTTATTACAACTATATTATTAAGGAATCACTGTCTAGTTTTGAGAGTATTTCCATTTTATTGTGAAATAACATTGTAGATTTAGACTTTAAAAATGTAGACATAGACTTAAATCACACGAGGACTTCCATGCCAATTTCAATAGTCCTCACCCACTGACGTTAAACACAAAGACAGCCGCACGATATTTACATGCATATTTGGCCTCCTTAGCGTCAGACACAGAGACAGATGCGCACGAGATTTGCATGCGTATTAGGCCTCGATCCTTAGCTCGATCGATCCTGACCTATCGACCTGCCTAATTTACATTCCGGCAGAATTATCAAGAAATAAACTCCGACAACTTTCAAAGAGTTATCATAGAGAAAAAAATTAGAAATGGAAATATTTAATAATCAACGTTACGAGAGCATAATCAATCGAACTTAATGCAATGTCTAATAAAACTGGCCAAATTTTTCACCCCTATAAATGCATGTATACTTAGAAAACGAATGTAAGAATAATTATTTAATATTCGAATATCAACTCATCGAGCAAATATTCGAATATTCGTTGAGATCCATAGTTGATATCAATTTCGGATATTTATGAATACATTGTATTTCCTATTTTCGTTTACGCAATATTTGTGCTTTCTGTCAACAAAGGTATCTTATAACACTGCATGTCAACAAACTCGAGAAAAAGGTTCTTGCAAGAGACAGAAATTTGAACTACGAACAAACACTAAACTATGAACAAACATGATCTTTTATTGTGACAGAACAGTGGCTTTAGGGTCATGAATCGAAGTCTGAATTCCCTATCATAGGGATATTATTTTATAAACAAATTATCAATGAAAATCTGTTCTTGATAAGATTTTTGAGAAAATTTGCAAAATTAAGGTGTTTCATGTATCACTATGATTTATTAGAGACATGGTGTTCAGAGATAAATTCAAAAAGAATTTTCAAAGAAAATCCTACCTTGATACCCCCAATGTCGCAGTTCTATAACAATTTAATCTTATAGATCATTCAGTAAACGATGTTAAAAAAGTGTTACATTAACCTAACATAAGATATCAAAAGCTTACAGTTTAACATAGGTAATCAAAGATTACGAAGCTTACCTCAGCGAATGTTATCATTGTAAGTTATCCAAATCTCACATCATATTTTATTAATTGTTAGTATTTATCCCGACAACGATTCTTGCAAGTTCTGTTTAACCCCTTACATGGCACATACACATTTCTCCACGTCTAGCATGAAAACTAGAGGTACTGTGAGCAATGAGCTCACTAAATGATACTCCCCGCCTCCCATAATGTCCATGTTTTGCTATATATTGTTTTACGGTAATGTGTAAAGAGAGATAACTCGTCCTATCAAATATTATCCAGAAGCTTCTATATATATGACGTCATAGGTAAGGATATAATGACAATGGGAAACCTAAAACAAGTGTCGAATAAAAAAGCAAAATAGAATGTGCACAATGGAAATATGTAATAAAGATTCTGTAAAAATTTCATTAAGTGATTGGTACCCCAAAGCGTAACAGAAGGAGGAACGGACGGACCGAAATACCGATTACTATATACCCTCCCACTTTTCAAGCGGGGGGTATAAATATATATAGTGTTAACAAATATTCATAACTCTGTTAATTCTGCATATCTAGGACTAGGAAGTTCATTGGGGATTGATCTGTTCAAAAAACTTTAACCTGATCTTTTGTTTGGAAAATATAGATCAGATCCAGCATCCGAAGCAAGTCTGGTACATGTAATGTGCATCCCTAGATGCATCATCCATGCAAGTTTGGTCCAGGTAGGGCTTATAGTTACTTTGGAATGAAAATGTAGGTCAGATCCAGCATCCGAAGCAAGTCTGGTATATGTAATGTCCATCCCTAGATGCATCATCCATGCAAGTTTGGTTCAGGTAAGGCTTACAAGTATTTGGAAATGAAAATGTAGGTCAGATCCAGCATCCGAAGCAAGTCTGGTGGTGTCCATTCCTAGATACATCATCCATGCAAGTCTGGATCAGGTACATATACATACGATCCTAAGATAAGATCACTAAACAATAAATGTTGACCAATTTCCCTTTACAAGATGCATTAACGGAAAATATCTGATGATTTCAGGGTCTGACTGAAAAGTTAACAAACGTTTGCATTGTTAATGTAAACATTTTGCGTAACAACTGCTGAACATACTCCACAACACTATTTATAAAAAAGTATACTCTAGCCCAACACTAGTTGGTTTCATGAATTCAGGAGCAGAATTAAAAGTTCACAAACGTTTGCATTGTTCTGTGTTAAAATTTTACACTAAACAACTGAGCGTTCTTGATCACATTATCAAAAGAACACTCTACCCTAGGTAGGTCTTATAGCTATTTAAGAATGAAAATGTAGGTCAAATCTAGCATCTGAAGCAAGTCTGGTAGTGTCCATCCCTAGATACATCAGCCATGCAAGTTTGGTTCAGGTTAGGCTTATAAGTATTTGGAAATGAAAATGTAGGTCAGATCCAGCATTCGAAGCAAGTCTGACAGTGTCCATCTCTAGATACATCATCCATTCAAGTCTAGATCAGGTAGGTCTTCTAGTTACTCGGGAATGAAAATGTACGTCAGATCCAGCATCCGAAGCAAATCTTAGTGTCCATCCTTAGATGCATCATCCATATAAGTTTGGTCCAGGTAGGGCTTAGAGCTCCTTTGGAAAGAATTTGCTTCAAAAACTTTAACCTGGTCACTCATCTGTAAAATGTACATGTAGGTCAGATCCAGCAAGCCTGGATGGTGCATCCTTAGATGCATCATTCATGCAAGTTTGGTCCAGGTAGGGCTTATACATGTAGTTCCTTGGGAAATGACCTGCTCAAAAAACTTTAACCAGCTGGTCACTCATCTGGAAAATGTAGGTCAGATCCAGCATTCGAAGCACGTTTGGTAGTGTCCATCCCTGGATGCATCATCCATTCAAGTTTGGTTCAGGTAGGGCTCATAGTTACTTGGGAATGGACTTGCTCCTAAAACATTAACCTGGGACGCCGACACCGACGCCAACGCAGGGGGTAAAACATAAGCTCATTTCGACTTCGTCTATGTGAGCTAAAAATGTTACTATTTTTTATGATTATGCACTGATATGGATCTCGTCTAGACTTTTTTTATGATTACATGCTTATAATTCCATTCCTTTCATGTGAATCTCCTCTAGACTTTTCCTTATTCTTTTATGATTACATACTTATAATTCCATACCTTTCATGTGGATCTCCTCTAGACTTTTCCTTACACCTGTACAGTCGTACTCGCTATGATCTTCAGAAGACCTACAGACTCGACACGGCATACCTGCTAAAAAATCAGCATGTTACTAAAATAAGAAAATGCCGGTATGCAGGAAGTTTAGAACCTCTATTTAAAGGACTCGTTTCGAACTCATCATTGATTCAGAAGTATCTGGTGATACTGTGATACTGCTGTTTTGTACCAAAAGGATTGACTGATTGATTGAATGTTTGTTGTTTTACTTTGAATTCGAAATGTTAACTTAAAGTAGAGAAGTCACCATAAACCAGTGAAGTACATGAAATTAAGACCTTTACTTCATTCTCAGGGCAAGAAATTAAGTGAGGTTTCTTTATCACGCCAACGCCTATACAAAGCACGGTGTAATTTACTGTGAGTGTCTATACAGATAAATAAAACACTGTATAATTTTACCTGTCAGGGAGTCCTTGTATGTAAGTCTGTGTATGTCCACTGTGTTGTCGAAATCTGAACCGACCCAGAGTAGTTGTGTTCTGTCATCGTAACCAAGGCCACATTGGAAGCGCTGCCCGTCCTGGGTCGTCAATACATTAGACAAAGAGTTACCATCTTGGTCAAGCAACTCTACTGCGAAAGCGTAAGTATCACACACCAGGATGTGTGAGAGAGCGTCTGTACACACTCCACGAGGATCTAAGGAGTAGCCTGGTTGACCTTTGTAGGAGAAGCGATGTCTCCCTTCACGATCCGTTACCACTAAAGCACCAAGTTTCCAGTCCGACACAATAACGTCTCCATTGCGGTTCTCTGTGAGATAGATAGGCAGAAGATACAATTCTTCGCCGGAGTCGTTGTGTTTTATTGTCTGTATATGCTGTCCTGAATTATTGTAACGGTTGACCTTGCCTGTCTTTGAGTAAGTGTGACGCATCCCGACCAGCAGGTCTCCATTAGAGGGAGAGCTGTAAACACTCCATGCTTCCCACGGCGCTGTGTGCTTTATAAATGTGATATTTGTGTTGTTTTCTATCGACAATTTGTGGATGTTGTACTCACTGTCTATATAAATCAACTCCCCGTCCCTGTTCACAGTGTGAACTCCCCATAAATCAGCAATACCTGTGAGGTGATGCAGTATATCGCCTGTAGTGTTTGTCAAGACGATATTGCTCCTATCACTGATCCAGACTCGGTCTGATGTTACGTGGGAAATGTGGACAACGACACTTACACCCGGAACTCGGATCAGTCTCTGTCGGACTGCTCTAGACATTTTTTTCATCAGATATTTATTTTTTTTCCTTATTTCCTACATGCTTTTTTCAAAACGTAATCTCTTGTTCATTTTCTCATCCACTGAAATCTCATAAATGCAAAAAATTGTCACTTTCTACTTTAGCTGCATAAAAGTTTGCATATGATCATATCCTTAAATTGTTTCTTTCCGTGAATTTCTTATATGACTGTAAATCCTTACTGTGTGGTGTTGAGTCCTTAATGACGCTTAATCCTAACTGTGTGCGATGTGGGTGTGCCATCTGACGCTGATTACTTGCTGACTGTGATGTGGAATCGTTTGTGACGCTGATTCCTTGCTGTCTGTGATGTGGAATCGTTTGTGACGCTGATTCCTTGCTGTCTGTGATGTGGAGTTGTTTTGACGCTGAATCCTTATTGTGTGTGATATGGACTCCTATGGGACGCTGAATCTTTAGTGTGTGTGATGTGGACACCTATGGGACGCTAAATCCGTGGAGTCAAATGTTTGCTGAATGAAAGAAATGTAATCTGTTTATCTATTTTTTTTAATCCCATATTAAAAATGTTTTTTTAAGAATGTGAAAAAGAATACATTAAAAGTTTGTATTTGCATATCCACTGTTCTCTCCCACTATGAACATGTAATCAACAACTGCGTTCATCTAATTATAGTCGCAACTGCTTCTGCTATGAGTGCAATTGCTCTATCACACTAACGTAGAACAAACTCTACTACACTTTTAAAACGTGTTGAGAAGTATATATATGAAATGTTTCTTAAGAGGAATAAATATAAGTTTTTAATAATATTCTTTTTAAAAAAAAGAAATTCAGAATATTTAAAATTGCTGATTTATATCTTTAAAAGTTCAATTTTGTTCAATGTATTTAATTGTATAATAAAACTTTTTTAAAATCATAGAGAACTGCCACATTTTTTTATTTTTTCGTATCATGCATATTTGTACAAAGAACGACAACTCTTCACACTTGGGTTATAACATTCGGAAAGAGAAAATTTCTTTAACTATTTATTTAACTATTTATCTATTTCAAGAATGATTTCAGATATTAAAAATAAATAGAAAAAGTAATAATCAGTGATAATAAGTAATAATCATTATTGCTAGCGCTCTCGAGCGCTAGCAACTACGTTAGTCCAAATTCCTTGAATACGCATGCTCGGCCGCCATGGCCGTGCATTCTGGGAAAACTGTGAAAACTACTACGGATAGACCATACGATAACAATTTCGTTGTATCATGTTGTAGCATGAAATAACTGTTTATTTATTGTGTAGCTTACACTTTAAAGATAACTTCATATTTATATTACTTCAAATTCTGGGGGGGGGGGGGGGGTTGCTGACGAAAAAGCCCGAGTCATTATCTGATTGTTCTAAACAATGACAAGGGAGTTTTTTTTTTAATCTAAGCACAACCAAAGATAGATTCTAATTTCTGATTGGTCAATTCAGCCAATCTTACAAATTCTAGAAACAGAAGCAAGAATTTACACTAAAAATAACGAATAAATCCACTATTTGTGTTTAAAAAAATTTTAATGTGTATGGCTTTTAACCTAACATATCTTGACAAAGATGACCCAAAGGACCAATTAAGCTACTTCACATGCGTTCCAAACTCTCTGGACTCTTTACACAACATGCACTTTGAGTTATTTTCTATACAGTATTCCTTTCAACTCCCATGTATTTTCTTTGCTAAATTGCCAAGAAATTCTCTTCTTTAAATCAGCCCATACATGCAATGTCTCAATCGGCATCTTCTTCATATTATATAGAGCCCCCCCCCCCCTTCTCCAGTAAAGGTCATAATAATATGTTCCGTTGTGCCAAAAGTCCAATAGGTCACCCACCCCCCTTGTTTCTTTACCTATGTGTCTCTAAAATGGATACGCTTCACAAAACAATAATAACTTTATCACTCTCCAGCTTCGATAAAAATTAAAGAATTCAGCAAAATAAATCACTTGATCATGGATCTTCCTTTCTGTGTTTAAAAATTGCTACGGCGCTAGCTCACCTATCTTTTTAAAAGATAAACTTGTACATGTAAAAGCATTCTCATTTTTCATCATAGTGTTAAATTATTGATTTTTGTCAGAGGGTTTTAATAACGTTGATCAATGACGTCACAACTGCATCAACACAAAAATTAAGAGATGATGACGGCGCTGCTTGTATCCAGATAACTGTGTTTGAGAGGGAAATACTTTATAAATTGTTTGTGATTTATTAGAGAAAAGGATCATTGATCAGGTGTACTGATTTTAAAGCCGTATGTCTCTCTTTACTGAAGACAAGAAGCCGCGTCCTCATGTAAGTCAGGATTTCCTCTGATATTCTTGAAAAAAATCAAAGAATGCAAATATAAGTAATAAACAACCATTATTCAGTGAACATTGCATTATGAATAGCAATTGCTCTGCTGGCATATTTTCCATGATGCGCTAGCGCACATCATGGAATATGCCAGCAGAGCAATTGCTATTCATAACGCCATGTTCACTGAATAACGTTGTTTATTTCTTAAATATACACGCTATAACTTGCTCCAGTTAAAATAAGATTGGAGATTTATATATTTTGTTTATCAATAAAAGCTACAATAATACTGTAAATTACATCATTAAAATTAAACGCGTTATAAAGTAATCAAATTATAATTATTTATAACCCTGCTAGGAGAGAAATTGCTATGTAAGGGATAGATAACGAGATGGTGTTGAATAGTTTAGAGAAAACATTCCCCTCCGAGGGCCTTCGGTCCTTTGAGGGGAATGTTTTCTCTAAACTATTCAACACTATCGAGTTATTTATCTTACTTAAAATAATTCCCTCTATTGAACCCCAAAGAAGCAGTGACCAATTCATATATCCAACTGTGCCATAACAATGGCATCTAACCATTTCATATATCCAACTGGTTGTAATACAAAAAGCTAACCGAACACCCCTCTGCGAGCTTGTGAATGAGGTGCTCACTTCATATCAAACCATTCTGTTCTACGGATCGGACATGGATTCTGATGAAAAAAATTTTCTTACACAAAGTAAATTTAAAGAAGTCCAAAGTTCAGGGGAAGATACAGATAGTGTTTTAAATGATATTTTAGACTTGCAGGAGGAAAAAGAAAATCAGAATTTTGACCTTAAGCTAGACAAATAAAGTAATATTTCGGATGATGATTTGGTTCAAGTGTGTAATGTACTTTAGTATGTTTATGTACGACTTATCTAATAACGGAAGTTGGGGTTATCTGCCCTTGCTATCTCTAAAAATTACCCGCCATGTCAGATGTCTGAATGCTCCACTGTACTGTCAGTATACAATAAAATATTCTGTTTTATACACCATACCGGTGTCTGTTGATACTTGATAATATACTACATGGTGTCAGAAGAAACTCGGAATGGCAACTCTTCCGTTCGATCAGCCCAGATTCGATTGGCAAGCCGGAGATCTGATCCAGGAATTTTGTCGGTTCAAGCAACACGTGGGTTTCATCTTCAAAGGGCCACTAGCGAAATCCGATGCAAAACATAAGGCAGGATGGATCGGCATGTGGATTGGACAAGAAGGTAGGGAAGTGTACAAGACTTTTGTGTTTGAAAATGACGACGAAGACGACCCAAAGAAAATTTTGGACAAATTAGAAGACTATGTTCGCCCCAAGAAAAACAAGCGAATGGCAAGATTCAGACTTCACCAAAGAACACAAAAAGAGGCCGAAACTTTTGATAACTTTGTTAAGGATCTCAAAATCTTAGGATTGGACTGTGATTACGCGGGTAATAATGATGTTTTGATTGACTTGATCATTAGTGGCGTCAGTTCAAGTTGTTCAAGTTGCGGTTTGGAACACGAACGTGGAAAGTGCCCAGCTTTAGGAACCATTTGCAGTTACTGTAAACAACGAAACCACTGGAAGAAAGTGTGTCGGCGGCGGCTGAAACAGATCAAAGTCAGCACGGTACAGCGAGATACAGAGTCAGAGGAAGAGGAACTACTTACAATTAGTATGTGTACTTCCCTCAAGTCCAGTCAGGATGACAACTGGGACGTTCATCTTGGTATCAAAGGTCAGCAGATTCGCTGCAGGATATATAGACACAGGAGCACGGGCTAATATACTCACATCTGCTCAAATTAAAAACTTGGGAGGATGCACACTAGAGAGTTCCAACAAGACTCTTAAGTCATTCAGCAACCATAAGATCAAACCAATAGGATCAGTAACTCTTTCAGTTATTTACCGTGATCGTAAAACTAACGTTCACTTTGAAGTGGTCGATTTGGATCAAGAGAATATCATTAGTGGTGATACTGCAGTTACTCTTGGGTTGATATACAAAACCGACCCCCATCTGCAGACTTCGATATCAGCTGTGACTGAGACTACAGAAAGTGCACAAAGTGAACTATCCAGAGACTATCCAGAACTCGTAGAAACTACAGGAACACTACCCGGAGAATACCATCTCAGTATAGACGAATCCGTACCTGCAGTTATTCATCCGGTAAGGAAACTCCCAGTAGCAATTAAGCCCAGGGCAGTTGACAAGCTGAGAGAGATGGAAGCTAATGGATACATCACGAGAGTGGACAGGCCAACAGAGTGGGTCAGCTCAATGGTAGTGAGTGTAAAGGGAGAAAAGATACGCATCTGCATAGATCCAAGGGATTTAAATCGCGCCATAAAACGTGAGCATCACCCTATGAAAATTATTGATAAGCCAAGATATTCTCAGTATTGGATGCCAAATCTGGATTTTTGCAGATTCAGCTCGACGAGAAGTCATCGTACCTGACAACATTTAACACACCGATAGGAAGATATCGTTGGCTCCGACTACCCTTCGGCATAAAATCAGCACCAGAAATCTATCAGAAGATCATGGACAACATGATATCTGGAATCAAAGGTGCGTCTGCCATCATAGATAACATCCTCATCGCAGGTGAAATACTCGAGGAACATGATGCCATA